GTCAAGGAGAGAATCCTTCTTGTTACTTGTAACAAGTAGTTAGGTAGCTAAACTTATATAGTAAGGATCTAAATAATAGGACTATCTTATATAGGTAAGAGAAGGGGGGTATTATAAAGGGCTACGCCTATATATCTTACTTAGAGAGAGTTACGTACTTTTACCATATAACTAGATAAATACACGAGCTAGTCTTCTATATAACTAGAGTAGGAGGACTAGAGGGCGTAGGGTATAAAAGTGGTGCTCGTACGATAGAACTCTCTTTTCTCTCTTATCTTTCTTCTTCTATACAATAGACGAATGCATACCCGTTAGCCAGGCCTCTCCGCCCATAACAATATTAGATTGATAGATATCTGCATATGGCATCTAGGTATAGTTCTTCTTCAACCACTGCTCAATACTCCGAACCAGCTCATTGGGAATTTCTAGTGGCATCCAATGACCTGCATCGAAAAGATCCCTCTGTTCAAGCTTCGGCAGTAGCCCTGCTTGAATATGGGGGATCATACTCTCAGGTCGACAAATTGAGTCATCTTTTCCACCAAGAAACAATGCTGGGACATTGACCGTATCTCTATCTAAAGGAAGATCTTTGTCACATTCGTATTGAATGTTAAGAAATCTAGCCTTATACCAGCATTGTGGACCATCGAAGCCGTCACGGTTAAATCGATCGATGAATGCCTGCTTTGCTGTCTCATCCTGGGCGTACGGGCGAACTGGAACATGTAGGCCACCATTGAGGAGATGGTTACGAAGAAAATCTCTTACGCCGAAGAATTTCTTCAGATTGTCTTCGCCTTGTCCGTGAAGCACCTCGTATAAGCGGCCAGGATCCTTCTGAAGAACCTGGGGGCCATCATCTGCAGTGAATAGATACCAGTATCCAAAGAATGTGTAGCCAAATTTGCGCTGGGTAAACGCATTAAAAGCGTCAAGGTCGAATGGCTCGCGACTGGGGGGGTCGTACGGGACGTTGATATTGACTAAGCCGACCACTCGATCTCGGTAGTAACAATATAGATGGGAGGCGCAGACTGAACCAAAATCGTGGCCAATTGAGATCAATTTATGCGCATCTTCCTTGTCCGCAATCTCGATTAGGTCAGGGAGTAATTTATTCCATGCATACTCTCTTGGGTCCGTAGGTTTGTCAGTACCATCATATCCAAGAAGGTCAGGAACAATTATAGGGTGTTTTGTGACACGAAGTGGATATGCAACATCTTTCCACAACTCCGCATTGTCTGGCCAGCCGTGCTGAAAGAAGAGGGTAGGCAACGATTTATCTCCATCGATCGTGTAGTACGTGTACAAATACCCTCGAGAGATTCGAAGAGTTTTTTTGTTAAAGCCTTTCATCATGGGTGTAGGAATAGAATCTATGTAAAGGATCAAGAACAAAATCTGTAATCTTGAGAGGAAGAATTTTGATATATTGATGAGACAGCTATTGAGATTTAGGAAGTGAGGAGTATAGGAAGGATGAGAAGATCAGCCGTTTGTAAGTTATCTGTACACTCTATATAGTTTATCCATGGAGGGTCAGAAAAGAATTACGTTACTGATACTCGCATTGGGATTCATCTATAACCAATCGGACGAAGGTTAGACTAGCTATATCCGCCATTATAAACCACTAGTCGTCTTGATAATAAAATCGCGCACCGCTATCCTAGAAGCGGCAACGATACCGCTCTAGCACCATCCGATATCTCCGATACAGGACGACACTAATAATAACGCACGCTCTCATGCACTTGCAGCTTCCAGTTTGCGCACGCGGCTTTGTTGTCGTCCCACGCTTACCACTGTCTCGCTTAACGCAGGCTTTTCCTTAATCGTTCTAGCTCTTGTCAGCATGATCCTAACTCCCTGTGTGAGAGGTTTCGCAGACAGGAATGGAGATATTGAAGATGGTATTCAGATGAATCCTTGAGGATCTCTCTAAGGTTCGGGCGAAGGTTATATACGGTTATGCTAAGGCCCAAGGGGTATCCAATAGGGCCCCGAGGGTTACCCTTAGCTTAGTGCCAAGACACGTGACACCCTGCCTATAGAAACTGCTAGGCTTATCTCTTACAACTATTGTTAATTCTCTATTACGAACCTAAGAGGATGGGGGGAAGATAGAAGATAAGTAAGTGTTGGATCTGGAACCGTTAGTCAGAACAAAGAGAACTGATTGATGTTAAGGATATATATCCTAGAGGCTGATAGCCTATCAGGATATATAGGGTGCAGAAGTAGAGGAAGAAGGCTGCTTGTCTTAGAGTAGACTCAGAGGTAGTACCACTGCGACTTGTCCTACTATAGGCTCAGAGGCAGTGTACGACTTCGAGTAGCGTAGGTAATAGTAGACGATACTAGGGGAGAGAAGGATAGTAAGTAAGTAGAATATATTGCTAGTCTAGATCAGATTCGCATGAATCGTCCTTCTCTGATCTCTCTTGACTGCTATTCTCTGCTTCTCTTCTCTACCTTCTATCTACTTGACTATCCTACTACTATATATACTTTGATAGATAGAGTCTAGGATAGTCTATCTAGTAGTAGACTGCGTAAGCCTAGACGTCATAGATAGGTGTCTAGAGATCGATTAATGTCGCACTCTATGGTGCGTGAGGAAAATGTGAAGAGGATTGATTTTTTATCATCTGCGTCGTCTCATCTGCTTATATAGAGACTATCGGCCAA